CCAACAAAATCAGTGTTGAAACATTAAAAGCATGTTGTACCAGAAAAACTTATCAACATGATAAACATTTGAACAATACACAAGGCTTGAAAAACACAATAATAATCAGTAAGCCATAGAGTTGATGTACTTATATGATACAAGATGCATCGAAGGGTTAACCTACACAGATTAGTATGGGGCCCCTATGCTTGTGGTGCTTCAGGCAACAGCCCATCAGTCCCCTTAATTAAGGCAGCCCTGAGTATCCTGGCATAAGACAGGAAATGAAGCATGAGGATGATCTTTATAAATATCCAAACTGCCACACAGATATTGAGGAAACATCTGGACCTAAAGAATCCCCTCAGAGAATTAGGGAGATTGTGTCCTATCCTCACTTTGGACACCAGGGGGCAATGTTGTCACACCAAACACCATGGACTATGAACTTGGTGGGCTTGGGGTAGAGAATAAAACAAGCATTGTTAGATATTGTCTCATTCTGGAAACATGCCAATTTTTTTGTCATAGTTCACTGAATGTTCTCTCAAGAAAATTTTGCATTTCATGAGTCTTTGATCTCAAGAAAGCTGAGGATTTTAATAAAGTGTTGCTGTTTTTCACAAGGGAAACTGCCTGGAATGTTTAAGGGTATTTCAAATTTTAAAGCAGAGACATCACTCTGCCAACCAAAATGTTTATTTTCAAGGCTATGGTTTCCCCACTTGCAGTGTATGGCTGTGAAATTTGGAACATAAGAAAGGCTGAAATGAGGCCTTTGAACTATGGAGCTGGAGAAGGCTCCTGGAAGTCCCTTGGACTGCAAGGCAATCAAACTGGCCAGTCCTAGAGGAGATCAACCCTGACTGCCCTTTAGATTAAGGTGACCAGACGTCCCGCTTTTGGTAATTTGAACAATTTGTCCCGCGTCCCGTGGCGTTTTTAAAAAGTCCTGATTTTTTAAAAAAATAATAATCAAGGAACACCCCTCTCCGTCAATGGTGTCCCACTTTACCAATGTTTCACACGAAATGAAAAATCTGCAAAAAGTCACGGGGTGCCCCGGGGATTGTTCCTCGCAAACCATCACGGTTGCGTAGAATGCAAATGAAGGTGCTTGTCTCCACTCCCAGCTCCGTGTGCTCATATTCAAATCGGAGTGACACTGAGTTCCATTCAGAACACATCCCAGAATCACGTTTCACCGAAGAGAATTGTCTAGAAAGTGCACGAATAAAAAGGAGGCTGGGATTTTCCCACCCAGCAGCGGATCCCGTGATTGTCGTAGAAGCGTGGCGAGGAAATCAATTGACCTGCAAGGGAGCTGTGGCAGCCATTGGCCAACGTTCTTGGGAGAGATTGTTCCCCGGAACTTCCCCACTTTGCTAACTTCCCATCGGGGTCCCTTTCTATGTCACGTCCGCTGTTGCTTTTGCTTTGGGCTACCACAGCCACTGCTAATTCCCGATCTTTGTGGCAATGGGAAGCGATGGTTCGCTTGCAGCCGTAGGCGAAAGAAGCCCATCAGGCAACAATGGTGCGGGAACTCCTGAAGTGGCATTTTGGCCTGAGGGCAGCTTCTGCCTTGGCTGTATCCGTGAACTGGTCTTTGGCCGGGCCTGACGGTCTGGACACATACTGGCTGTGCTCGAATAGGCCGAATATGATAAACATCTCTGGCTCCAGTTGAGTGCCGCCTCGGGGATCTACCATTACTTGAAGGACTTCTGCGGCTGCCATGTGTCCTGGTCTGGGGCGCAGCTCCGACTGCCGCAGAGTTTGCCCCCTGTCTCCATAGAGATTATTGTCACCAGCCCCAACAGATGATTTGACCTCGGAGGAGTCCGTCTCTCCTGCCAAGCCTCTGGATTCACCTTCAGCAGCTATGCGATGCACTGGGTGAGACAGGATCCAGGAAAAGGACTGGAATGGGTGGCATACATGTACACTGCTCCACGTACTTCCTACTCTGACAAAGTGAAGGGACGCTTGACCATCTCCAGGGACAATGCCAAAAGCCAGCTGTATCTGCAAATGAACAGCCTCAAAACCGAAGAAGCAGGAGTCTATTACTGTGCAGGAGACACAGTGAGAGGAAGTAAATCTGAAGCCAAGCAAAAACCTTCTTTTCTTCATTCTTCAACTTTATGGAGCCCCACGTCCTGGATTAGTCAATGAGGNTGAACAAAGGAAAAGGGGGTAAGTAGGACAGGGACGGTAGGAACACTGGTGTGCTTATGTACAACCCCTCTTAGGAATGGGGAGAGGTCCATCGTAGACAGTTGGAGGTTGAAACTGTGAAGGGTTTGATGATGTAACAACAGAGTCAGGTTGAGCATTCCAGGCGTGGGGGTGGGGTAGAGAATAAAACAAGCATTGTTAGATATTGTCTCATTCTGGAAACATGCTAATTTTTTTTTTTGGCATAGTTCTCTGAATGTTCTCTCAAGAAAATTTTGCATCTCATGATTCTTTGATCTCGACCATAAATCTGAGGATTTTAATAAAATGTTGCTGTTTTTCACGAGGGAAACTTCCTGGAATGTTTAAGGGTATTTCAAATTTTAAAGCAGAGACATCACTCTGCCAATAAAAATGTTTATTTTCAAGGCCATGGATTTCAATATTGTTGTCCAATTAATGGACTATGCAGCTAGAGAGGTCCTTCTGTCTGTAATAGCGTAGCCAAAATAGTATGTCTGTGGTTAAGGGTTAATCAATGCCCTGTGTGACTCTTTTATCCCAACCGATATGTAAATCGAGATACAATTTCCCCTTTAAAGAAGCCCAATTCACTTTTAAGGCAACACCCACCAACATAACCCTTGGGCTATTTCCAGAATCCTCTCCTATCAATTTCATCCATTCATTACAGGAAGCAAAAATGTGGCTAAACCTTCTGTCCATACTTGACAACATACTTCTGCCAACGTAGCAGTTAAAAATCACATAAAAATGCAAGGAGAAAAATGGGAACCACCTTTGTTGGGAAGGTAACAGTGTTCCATGCACCTTCGGTGTTTAGTCACACTGGCCACATGACCACGGAGACGTCTTCGTACAGCGCTGGCTCTTTGGCTTTGAAACGGAGATGAGCACCCCCACCCAAGAGTCCGTAACGACTAGCAGATATGTACACTGCATGTAGGGATGAAAGGAGTCCCTATTTTTTTCTACTTGCATTTTTTTGTGCTTTCAAACTGCTACATTGGAAGAAGCTGGAGCTCACCCCATTATTCAGCATTAGGGATTGGACCCACCGAACTGCTGACCTTTCTGATTGACAAGCTCAGCGCCTTAGCCACTGAGCCATCTCGTCCCTTAAACTTAAGCATATATTTATTTAATTGGCACATACAACAAAATCAGTGTTGAAACATTAAAAGCATGTTGTGCCACAAAAACTAATCAACATGATAAACATTTCAACAACACACGAAGCTTGAAAAAACACAATAATACTCAGTAATACATAGAGTTGATGTACTTATATGATACAAGATGCATTGAAGGGTTAACACAGATTAGTATGGGGCCCCTATGCTTGTGGGGCCGCAGGCAACAGCCCATCAGGCCCCAGAGTTAAGGCAGCCCTGAGTATCCAGGCATAAGACAGGAAATGAAACATGAGGATGATCTTTATAAATATCCAAACTGCCACAAAGATATTGAGTAAACATCTGGACCTAAAGAATCTCCTCAGAGAATTAGGAGGATTGTGTCCTCTCCTCACTTTGGACACCAGGGGGCAATGTTGTCACCCAAACTCCATGTACTATGCACCCGGTGGGGGTGGGGTAGAGAATAAAACAAGCATTGTTAGATATTGTCTCATTCTGGAAACATGACATTTTTTTTTTTGTCATCGTTCACTGAAAGTTCTCTCAAGAAAATTTCACATCTCACGGGTCTTTGATCTTGACCACAAAACTGAGGATTTAAATAAAAATGTTGCTGTTTTTCAGGAGGGAAACTGCCTGGAATGTGTACGGGTATTTCAAATTTCAAAGCAGAGACATCACTCTGCCAATAAAAATGTTTATTTTCAAGGCTATGGTTTCCCCACTTGCAATCAAACTGGTCAGTCCTATAGG